TTTGATCAAGTAAGTAGCTTTATAGATTGATGAAGTGCCAGCCAGCCATCATCCTGGCGCATATAATTGGGCAAAAATGTAGCATCACACAGGTTTAGGAAGTGGACGATATATCCTTTTATTATACGGAACTTATTACGGTCCAATAATCATTACTCGTAGTAATGATATTTGTACATATGGGATTATAGCCATGGACCAGCACGCAGGTTTCTAGCAAGTAGCTACGCCGATTTTAACGCATACTTCCTCCGTCTCTTATTATTTGCACCATTTGATTAAAAAAGCTCTCACAAAAAATGAGTTTATGGTGACATGGTGCAAATAAAAGGGGACTGAGGGAGTACACACCTTAGTCGTCATTGTACCCAATATTTAATTTAAATATAATATAATCATGTGAAGCAAAATAATTTATCGTGAGATTAAGGTAAATGTTTAATCTGTTTTTGAATTCATTTTACGATTAGTCACCTAAAATTTTATTCATTTCAATAATAATTATATGAGGTATATCGTATATTAATCATTTGAATTTAAGTTTAAGTTACGAATTAATCAATATATACTACGTACTATTCACACAAAATTTCATCATACTAATATGGAGATGGTAAAATTTAAATTGGATCTAAAACCTTACTCTCTTCATCTTCTTTTTCTTTTCGCGGAACTAAAATTATTAATATTGATTAAATTTTATCTTTATCGATTCACACTAAAATATTAAGATTCGGACTAAAATATTAATATTGACTAAATCTTAGCTTTACCGATTCAGATTAAATAATCAAACACAAATTGCCACACGTACAAAAAACCGGTTATTTAACGACGGTTTTTTTTTCCGTCATTGTAAAAAAGTAAAAACCGCAATAATAGGATTTGTACTTATAACCTAAATCATGCTCCAATATCTCACAATTGATCCCCATCCTCAAGAAACGCAATTGGTAGGAATCGATGAAACTTATAACCTAAAGATTTGTACTCCGTAGTAAAACGACTATCAACTTTTTTTTTTTTTCGGTGTTGACATGAGCTTAAACTAATAAACTAAAACGCATTATTAAAAGAAATAAATTACAATTAGCCGTGGTAGCAAGGATATGCACCTTGTGAACTTGTTCCCTTTGAACCTTGTGGATGTTATACTATGTAAAGGTCTTACTAGTTCGGCAAATATCATCCACCGTCCATCTAAGAGTCTAAGACTGACATCAGTAACAGTACAGTTCCTTCCTGAGCGTCCTCTTCGCAACACCAAGTACTTGTTGATTTGGTTGATGCAAATGAATTTGCCATTTTATTAGCTTTATGCATACAGAATTTTCCCACTACAATCACGCGATAAAAGTGGAAGCACATTTAGGGTCGGGCCACACCACTTTGGAAACGATATAGCTAGATAGAATAAGAACAACCATCACAACTCATAATACCTCAAAAAGTTTCATTTTCTTAGCTCAAACAACAATACAACATGGTCTCACACATAACATTTTTGGTGCTAATTATTCCACATCATATTATAAGTGCCCCCTACTAGATTTTAGCCATTAAATACTAATTATGAATCTATGATTGCACATTCACTGGAGGCAGGAAAAAGACAAATATTTTGTAGCATATAATGTACTCATTTTTTTATTATTAAGTATAACTTTTGTATTTCTTTATTATTATGAATAAATTATAACTACTAATAAAGTATTAAAGTTAGAGAGATTTCGACGAATAAAATTCCACCATGAATCTTGATACCCCCTTACAAGAAAAAAGTCAAAGCTAAGATATGTAAAAACTAGAAGCTGAATACTCAAATCATCAAAAAGAGAATAAAAAGAAAGGAAATCGTGAATATTTTTTTTGAGTGATAAAAATAATGCATGAAAAGATGTAATTGTCAACCACTAGATCTGTCAATCTATGTCTCTTATAAAAGAATGAAAGCTAGCTTAGTGAAAATTTTACTAGTTGATCAATATAAAAATATTTGCTTGCATACAAAATTTCTTTTAAAAAAATAATAATAAAATTTGCGTCCATAGTTTTAAGTCTAACATTTCAAATCATCATTCAAGTAAAATATAAACGTATGTATGGGTAGCTAGTCAATTACAATGTTAAGAGTTGCTTGATTAGTTAATATGCATACAACAAGTTATGTTACGATCAAACGATATTAAAATAAATAACACAAAGACGAATTTAACATAATACTCCTTTCATATGTCACTTCAATAATTTTATATTTGAAATATTTTTGTAAGAGAAACATAGTCAAAGCATATATAAAGATTAAAAAGTGATGGAGGAGTATAACTCTTATTTGACAACTTTGAAACCTGTGAAGTCGTGAACCGGTAGCAACAAGCGTAGCACAATGACTAAAAAACTCCCAAATTGGGTTTATGTAACTTGTATTTGTATTAAGCTTAACAAATTTACAAGGTGACCAAACCAAAATCAAGTACGCATCATGCAAAAATTATGAATGTATGACATTAGGATAAAAACTTGGAACCAACAAAACGAGAGTGCAAAAATAAATTATACGAAGCATATGGTTGAGCTAATATCTCTTGGATCCCTTCAAATCATAGTACAATACTACTATTGGTAAAGACCGTGCATGAGGGTTTTGCCAAAAATGGTGGGTATAAGGTATAATACTTATCATACATTTATAGTAAGAACTAATGAAAGTATCTTTCCAATAAACATTAGAATCTGCCACCCTGCCGGTCAATTAATAGTCAACCCCGCCCCTTTCTTCTTTTAGCTACCAAATCGATATACTTCCTCTGTCACAGTTTATAGTTCCTGTTTGTGTTTTTTCATGGTATTTATTAAGAAATGGGAGGAGAGAGTAGATGAAGTACATTAAAAATAAAAAATAAAAATAAAAAAGTGAAAAGTATAATTATAGACAAAAGTTAGAGAGGAAAAGTGGAAAATCCAAGGGTAATTTAGGAAGTTCAATGAATAAAGTTATAAAAATGAGGGTATAATGGTATTTACATACTATTCAAAAATAGAATCAGAAACAATATTTTGGGTCTCCAAATTAGAAAAATAGGAACTATAATATGGAACGGAGGGAGTACACAATATATATACTCTAGTCGTCTTCTTTTGTTCGCTCATTTTTTAGTTTATTTTCGATTTAGTTCAGCATAAGAGAATGTGCCTCATACCTTCATAATGTATTAGCTCCAAAACTTAAACCAGCTATGGTAATCATCAACCACAAACAACATTAAATTACTCCATTTGAAAACATAATCAGTCAAAATGGTAACATATGATTTTAGTTTGTTACCAAATTTAAAATGATTGTGTTCTTTGTGTACATATAGCGGGTTCAAAAACAACAAACTCTTTTCTTAGTGAGTTATGCTCAATTTTGATCATCTAATTTTTACTGAATTGAAAATAAATTTTTTTTCACTGAATTGAAATAATTTTTTCTTAATTAAAACCTATTTTTACTGATTCAATATTATATTTGTTGTTTGAATTGAAGTTACTAATTTACACCGATTAAATTTATGTTTACTAATGAACTTATTTTTGCTAAAATTATTGTTTTTTTTTAATACAAACCTTAAGTTATTTCTACATATTGATTGAATATGATTTGAATAAGGTGAATTGAACATAGCCTTATTACATCAAACATCATTAAATTTAGAATAACTGAATCAGTGAATTATTGCATGTGAATATGTGATCAGTCAAAATGGTAGTATATGATGATTTTTTATTTGTTACCTAATTTAAAAAGAATAATGTTATTTGTGTACATATGATTTTTGATTTGTAACCTAATTTAAAAGGATAATTTAAGTTATTTATATTGAATATGATTTGAATAAGGTGAATTGAACAGAGCCATGTTACATTAAACATCATTAAATTCATAATAACTAAATCAATGAATTATTGCATGTGATCAGTAAAAATGGTAGCATATGTTGATTTTTGATTTGTTACCTAATCTAAAAGGATAATGTTATTTGTGTACATATAAGGGGCCTCCATTACTCATGCCTTATTCTCTTCACCTTATCCAAATAAAATTCAGTAAAAATAAGGTAAGCGTAACTAGTAAATAATTTTTAATCAGTAGAATTCAGTAACTCTAAAGAACAAATATAATAGATTAATAAAGAATCAATAAAATAATTTTTAATTAGTCAAAATAACTTAAGCTCGGTTAAAATATAGTTCGGAAAAAATTATTTAATTTTGAGTAAAAATTATTGAAGTTAAAATTTAATTTCGATGAAAATAATTCCAATTCATTCGGCAAACATAAGTGGTAAAGAGAACATGACCTAATCAATATTAAGGCCTTGTTTGTTGTTTAACTTAGCTAGTTTGACCGATTATTTGACCCTTGGTTGTATATAATAATATTAATATGTTTGGTTTTGTTGGTTATTGACTGTAGCTATCCAAAATGACTTTTAAGGACAATATAATGTGCACTTATTCATCCATTATGAGAATAGTAACTAATTTTAAATTTATTTAATGATCAATAAATACTTATTAAATAATTATATTAATTAGTTTGTATCAAAATTAAAATTATAAATAATTATTTATAAATCATTTAGGGTTGTTAATTATAATTTATTACTGAAAATTAAGGATATAAAAGTAATTTGTAAGGTGAAAAGCCAAAATTCAATACCAAAAGGCTAAGTCTAGCTTTTTAGCGGAGAAACAAACTATTTAGCCATTTTTTAGTGGAAAACCAGGCTTATTAGCAAAAAAAAAGTCATGTACCATTCAATTTTTTTTTTTGACTGTTTGACCAAAATAAAAAGCTAAAAGTTAATTAAAAAAAAAAAAAAACCCCACTCAAAAGCCATTTGTCAAACACCCTCTAAAATCAAATTCAGTGAATCATGTGAAGATAAGATCAGTCAAAGTGGTAACATATGATTTCGATTTTTACCTAATTTAAAAGGATTGTCTATGTGCTGTATGGATCAAAATCATATCATATGGGATATTGTTTTTATTAGTCTCAAACTAAATTATCAAAATATTTTTTTTTTTTGTTAATCTTTACATACACATATCTTTTAAAACATATTCATGATCAAAGATGTACATGGTAAACTGTAAAAATCAATATAATAAATAAAAAGAAACAACGGGAGCATTGTTAATTTAAAAAAGAAGACCCTACATTCCTTGGTGCAAGACTACCATATATATTGGCTAATTGGTTTTGTTGTGGCAAGTTAATTCACTTCTCCTTCCTTTGTCCCTGTTCTCATTTCTCCCCTTCGAAAAAACAATGGCTTTCGTACTCACAGCTTTCGTATTCATTTTCTTAAGCTGGTTCGTAAGAGTAACCTATGAAACCCTCTCTTTTTATTGGCTAAGTCCTAGACGCATCAAAAAAATCATGGAAAAACAAGAAGTGCGTGGCCCGCAACCCCGCCCTCTTATAGGTAACATCCTAGACATGGCTACCCTCGTGTCATCCTCCACCTCTAATGACATGCCTACCATCTCTCACGACATCGTTGCTCGTCTTCTCCCACATTACCTCCTCTGGTCAAGAAAATACGGTATCTAATCTGATCTAATCTGGTCACGTACATACTAGCATTAGGTCTAAAAAAACAATTATATTGATGCATTATTTTTTTGTTATGTAGGAAAGAGGTACATATATTGGAATGGATTCGAGCCGAGGATGTGTTTAACGGATCCCGATATGATCAAAGAATTGCTAACAAAATACAACCCTTTGTCTGGAAAATCATGGCTTCAACAACAAGGGTCAAAAAATTTCATAGGAAATGGCCTACTTATGGCCAATGGTGATGCTTGGCATCATCAAAGGCACATTGTTTCCCCTGCTTTTATGAGTGATAAGCTTAAGGTATAATTTAAAATTACTCTATAAATAATTTATAATATATTTTTTAGAATACAAATTTTGTTTATGTTATGATTGATTTCTTTACTTGTAATATGCCCCATTATCTTATCTTTTGTATTCTTTTATGTTTTGGATTATAGTAAATTTTTATTAAGTGATGTATGGTTTGATATTTGATTATTTGATGCAGAGTTATGCAGGGTATGTGGTGGATTGCACTAACAACATGCTCCAATCGCTTGGAGACACGTTCGAGTCGAGTAAAAATGAGGTGGAAATTGGAGATTTAATGACTAATCTTACTGCTGATATTATATCAAGAATTGAATTTGGTAGTAATTTTGAGAAAGGAAGGAAAATTTTCCATCTCCTAAATCTTTTACAGAATCGTTGTGCTCAAGCTAGTAGGCATCTCTGCTTACCCGGAAGCCGGTAAGCTTTTACGCTTATACTCTATCATCGTTCCGTCCTTGACTAAGGACTTGTCCGTTGTCGATAAATGTCATTTAAAAAATACTGTCATAATAAGAAAATTGACACCGATACCATTGTTAGTAAAAACCCGATTTAAGTCTTAAAATCTTACGATTTTACGATTCATATATGTCACACGATCCGATTTACGATTCTATCCGATTTTACATATTTCTCTTAACTAGCGAAATCCTTACAAGTTTAAAACATGCTTATATAGCTATTTATAAACATATATTGTCAATTATTGGTTGCTTAATGGGTAAACAACTATTTTCTATCGATAATTAGGTTTCAAACTCATAATTTCAACATATTTAATTCAATTTAGATATGACGTCTTGATTATGCATGTCGGTAAAATCTTATGATTTTACGATTCGATTCTGATAGCCCCTTCCGATTCAAAGTAGAATCCTAATTTTAATAATTGACTGATACCGAATTGAACATACCGTATTTATCATACCTACAATTCTGTTTTCGTTGTTATATTTAAATCTACATTAAAATAATTTTTTTAAAAAAAAGTAGTACCAACGATGTTCACACAACTATAGGACTACAAAATTTTATTATATTAATTATTTCACGCATGATATGATTCTTTGTTATTGTGCTTTTAGATGCTCCTATTTTAGTCAATACAACGTTTAGTCTTTTCCATTACTATTACGAGTATTCCGTTGCTACTTTGCATCAACATTTTGACTCAAAGCAATTTGTAACAAAAAAATTGCAGGTTTTTCCCAAGCAAGTACAACAAAGACATAAAGGCTCTAAAAACCGAAGTAGAGGAACTACTAATGGAGATAATCATTAGTAGAAAAGATTGTGTCGCGATGGGTAGAACTGACTCGTATGGGAAAGACTTACTAGGGATTCTAATGAATGAATTGCAAAATAAAAAGAGAGACGGATTTAACTTGAATTTGCAACTTATAATGGACGAAATCAAGACATTCTTTTTCGCGGGGCATGAGACTACGGCACTTTTGCTCACTTGGACTATAATGTTGTTAGCAAGTAACCCTGAATGGCAAGAGAAATTAAGGGAAGAAATTGAACAAGTTTGCAATGGTGAAACTCCTACCATTGATCATTTGCCTAAGCTTCGCATGGTAAGCACGCAATCAATTAAAATCCTAATTTGATGCATTTTCAATTACGTACAACTCCTAGAGTTTCATATACGAGTCGTACATCATATGGACTATTATATGTTTTTTTAACAAAGGGAGTATCTCATGATTAAATATTTTGTTAATTATAAAATGCAATTACTAATAAAATAAAATTATACTCGTAATTACTTTAATGAGTATTGGATGTCGGAGGGGGACATTAAGAACTACCAAAAGGACGAGGTTTTTAGGTATAATATTTTTAACAATTAATAGAAAATCAAGCAAGGTTGGAGAAGAACTTCACCTTGTAACTTTGAAGTCACAACTCACAAATCCGAACCCTACTAATTACGTTTGCTTATGAGTAGAGGATTCTCCTATCTCCCCCTCTATCCTCAAACATTGACTTATGTTATTGGACTATTATAACCTGTAAGAGATACTAATTCTATAAAATCCTTTATATTATCGAAAAAAAAAAAAAGTAGAGAAGTCTTACATTGGTCGGTTGAAATTAACCTCATAAAAATAGTTATGGTCAAAAACTCAAAACCATTCGATTATAGAAGCCTGCAATCATATGAAATTGACAATAAAAAAAATGAAGTTTGACCCCCATGTCTAAGTTTTGACGGCTAAGCGTTGACTTCTTGGGGGAATGAACTTTTGCTAGGTTTTAGAGCTACACTGAAAATTAAGGTCATTAGTTTGCGCATAATTAATTGTACTTGTCTTCCAAGAATCACTGTCAGAAAATGTCCGTTCATGGATTTCCCATTTTTAAGATTCGTTACATTATGCTATGTATAAGCATGTACATTATTGTACCAAAATTCATGTATGTCCATGCGTTTCTATATTACAAATACTTCCTTAATGTACTCTTCCATTCGGATTTAGTTGTCACCCTTTAATATGATGCATAATTTTCCTTTTATATAATTACTTTAAAAAACATACTTGATTTATTTGACACGTGGTATTAATTGTGTTTATAGTTAAGCATGATAATTAACGAATCATTGAGGTTGTACCCACCTGCTACACTTCTACCTAGGATGGCATTTGAAGACATCAAGCTTGGCGATCTACTCATTCCAAAAGGGTTGTCTATATGGATTCCGGTCCTAGCCATCCATCACGACAAAGAACTATGGGGTGATGACGCGAATGAATTTAATCCAGAACGTTTTGCCTCCAAATCCTCTATTTCAAGTCGCTTCCTTCCATTTGGTGCTGGCCCTCGGAATTGTATAGGGCAAACATTTGCGATTATGGAAGCAAAGATCATACTAGCTATGTTAGTTTCACAATTCAAGTTCAAAATCTCAAGTAATTATCGTCACTCTCCCGTGGTAGTTCTTACCATAAAGCCGAAGCATGGTGTTCAAGTTTTCTTGGAGCCCTTAAATAGATGAGCTTAGACTACAATTGTTACATTATTTTTCAATATAAATTTTTTGGGTGGGAATTTTGGGATTGAGGTTATTGGTGCGTACGTTATTTTGCACTAAACCTCTAAAGTTTTGCAGATTTATGATGCCTAGAACAGTAGCTTATTTTGTATCAAAGAGGAATACATGCAATAATCAATATTATATTCAAGATTATAAATCACCAAAATATATTTTTTGGAATGCTTTCTCTTTTCGATCTTCGAATAGCACCAGATCTTCATGATTATATGTATTTATAGTACTAATCGAATCACAAGTACATGAATATTTTCTCTCTTTTTTTTAATAGTAATAGCATTTTCAAGATCAAAATTTGAGCACTTGATTCACCTAATTTTCGGTTGGTAAAAGTTTTTGTAGAAGTGTAAAATTTTCAAATAATACAAGAAAATGTCCCACATTGAGAAAATAATACATTATAAGGCTAAGAGTTAAATACATTATAAGGCTAAGAGTTTGCTGTTCTTATTGTCATATGTTTTGGGATAAGACCTCCTTGAAATTGTATAGTAGACTCTTTTTCTTGGTTGTAGGGGCGGCTCAGACCCATATTCAATAGTCTTGGGCTCATCCTTCATTGATTTTTTCATATTGTCATTTTTTTTTCTCCATTGTGCTCTATGACCTCAAGGACATTAAAGAAGTGCTCTCTATTTTTCAATTCGAAAAGTCACCAAGTCCACAAATGCGTAGGGTCAAGTTTCTTAATGGTGTACTTATTATTGATTGCTACAGTTCCTTTTTACTTAATTAGCTGCTTGCCACTTTATTTGTTGTTTTTTTCCCTTCCTTTCAAATATGGATTTTTATTACCTAAATACTAGTTTATCCGTTTTGTTAGGAAATAAGGGTGTAATTGTGTTTGATTAATGCGGAACAAGTCAATAATAAATAAGAACGAGAAAAGCAATAAAGAAGATAAACAAAGAACACAAGAATTTACATGGTTCGGTAAAATTAGACCTACATCCACAGGTGGGGGATTCGAGAGCTTCTTAACTAAGATGGGGGGAAAAATGAGAGAAGAATACAAGGAGTCCTAAATCTAATGGATCAAAAGATATGATCTAATTGATCAACTAAAGGGTCCTTTTATAACATAAGAAAAACATAATAAAAACCCTAAATTGTTCCCAAATATACTCAAATAGCCGTCATAGAAAAGATATAATTTTAGGAAATATCCCATAAATTATCCTAAAAGAACTGAACTACCAAGCTATAGCTCTGCAGCTAGCTCAGCTCAAGCCTGTCGCAAGTCTTCAAAAGGCCGAGCTATAGCTCACTCGTCTAGAGCTATAACTCGCCTGCTCGTCGCAATTTTTCAGCTTCATCAGGTCTTTGTAAAACGGCCATAACTTTCTCGTTTTCTATCGGAATTAGGCATATGAACTATCCCTGGAAAGCTCTTGAACCAAGGTATTACCTCCAACTTGAATCACCTCAAAATCACTTATAGTTTGAGAGATATCTACATTTAAAGTCAGCCCTACTAGATTTCAAGTCACACTTTAACACGTTTCATTATAGTGACACATTTTTTTTGTCATATTTCTCAGATTTTATATACTTATTATACATCAATCATAGCAATGAGGTATTGGTTTAGTGATTAAGATTAGGGATGATATGTGTACGGTAGGTCATACATTCAAATCCCCTTACCACCATTTGTAATTTTTACTGCCCTTGTAACTCTTTCGCATCCAAAAAAAAAAATACATCAATCATAATTTCATTGAAGGGAAGTCCTATATATTTGATTCAATTGGATATGCATACATTATTTTTGTTTTAAATCAAATGTTTATTTAGATAATGATAAAGACAACCCTAAGATATACGGTTTGAAAATTGAAAATATTAAGCTAAATTTCAAACATTATTAGTTACACTTATTTATTCGTGATTTTGCCATGCAATTCTAAGTTAGTATCAATTATAAATGTACAAGTATATTAAATGTTTATATGTATCCTTCGGGGATGAAGTAACATTATCTTTTAATTACTAGATTAATTTAAGTTAAGAGCTTTGAATAATGTTAGATTCAACGACGACAATAAGGTAGGACAGGTAGGTAGTTTAGTAGTTAGGTTCTGAATCGTACAATTAGGCAATTAGCACACTGAATTTGCAATAACCAGTTAAAGAATTGTTTCGATCATATTTTTAAGTAGATATGTTAGGGTTTCACATGCTATTAATTATAGCAATTGCTAGCATCGACCAAACTAGCTAGCTTCTAATTGAGAATTACTGTGCAATTTTGCTACTCTTATGCTTTGAAGTGTTATTGCAATTGTTAAAGTTTACCATTGGAAAAGACCCATCTCTATCAAAATTTTATTTAGGTGATAAAATTAGTTTTTGTATATTAGCATATTGTCAATAATAGTATATGAATAATACTTAATTTCCAAACAAGTGGGTGGCCTTATTGGGCGAGTCGTGATGAGTAGTGTTTAATGATGAAAGAAAAAAGATAATCGGGTATAAAAGGGAAGGAAGCGAAAAATCAGTAAAAATCATGAATTGAGGAAGGAAAGTACAAATCAAAATCACAACAAGAGTTTTTTTTTTTCCACTTGTTTTAGCTTAATTCCTAACTCATGTTTGCTAAAATTTATTGAAATAAACCGAGGAGAACATAGCCTTGCACTATAATAATCAAAGAATTCAAGACTAATACTTATATTGATCATATAATCGTCATATTGCACATGGTACTTTATGGAGAGTCCTCCACTTAAACGAAAACATTATCCTAAGATCTTACAAATATTAAACTAATTAATTATATACAACCTAAGCATGATAATGGCTATTTCATTCCCTCCTATTAATCCTTTTTTCCGGTTGCACGAGTGGTTTTTACTTTTAAGTGGGTGAAAAGTATATCAACATAATCAACCTTATAATTTGTGCCGCCTAAGATCAATTTCAAGACCCTTGGCTTCTGCTATGGCCAAGGTGGGTCCCCCTCCACATGAAAAAACAGATTTTGGGTCAAACTTTATAGACCATTATTATAATATAATTAAACATCTTCCACTAACTAATCATTTATAATTGCTTCTTAACAGCATTAATTAAGACTTAAAACTAAAATTCCCCAACTCTAAATGTGTGATGGGAACTAACTATGTGCCACTAATTACTATGATCACAAGCTCCCCACCACCACTCTTAACCATCATAATCTCTTCCCCAAACTTGATTAGAACACCATAATTTGTGTTTAATTATATCATTCATCATTACAAACTATACTTTCATCGACAATGGAGAAAAATAAAAGTAGTGGTGTGTTCAATCTATGTTAAACTATTTGAATATCCTAAGATCTATTTCAATAGTCACTTTAAATAAACCTAAAACACCTAAATAGAAAACTACTTTAGAATTTGAAATTCTATTCAAAAATTGAAGTATCGGGTGCTATAATAGTCTCAAATCAGATACAGATTAATTAAAAGATACCGAGTAGAAACTCATCTTACTGTCAAAAAAGAAAAAAAAAAAAAATCACCCTTTATTTCGCCCAGAGACTCCTTTATATGCTCTATAAATGAATTTTCTATATAGTTGTAAGTCTTGTAACAATTATTATTCTATATCAAAATGCATGATTGACAGTATACCTTAAAAAAAAAAAAAAAAAAAAAAAAAAAAAAAAAAAAAAAAAAAATCATCGCATTTAACAAACATTAAGATATTGGCTAATTGTATGTACAATAACCATTGAAATTAACTTGCATTATTGTATTAAGTAAATAAACTTGAAATATCATGTACAAATCAATATGTAATCTATACGTAATATTAATATATTTGTGTGTAAACATGGGTACTGCGCTTTCATATATATATATACAAATACGAAGTATGCAATAATACATATTGCTCGTACAATAATATTTTTAGGTATCTACTATTAGTTTGCATACATTTTAAAGATATATATACGTAAATAATACGGAGTTAAAAAAAATGGACAGTAGAAGAAAAAAAAATTTGAAAAATTGTTTTTTGTTTGTACTCAATATTAGAAGTTTTAATTTAGGAAATACGTATAATTTTCATGCACCATAGTTTTAGGTGAATCTTTCGAGTTTAAATTGAAAATTAGCACTAAAACAATCATAGTATGATGGCGGCCCGCACAATAATTAAGTTTTAGTTTGAAATAATTAAGTAATTAAGGATTATTATTACTTAAGGAGTGCTGCGCACATTAGTTAAAGTGTATTTTAAGAAAGCCTCGTGCAATTGTTTTTAAAATAAACAACATGTCTCTACCTATTGTCCTTGAGACACTTGTCGACTGATGTTACGAGAGGTTGCTTTTTTTAATTTTTAGTAATAATAATTCGTCAAAAAAATAGTAATAAGGTGTCTTCACTAATTAATTACATAGCATTTATCTAACTCCAATCTTTAGTGCCCAAAATGACAGGCACTCAAGCTAGAGCATATGTAAGGATCCGATCTATGTGACAAGTAGTTGTTGTAATAGATGTTAGCTATCGCAAAATTGTTTAGCTCTTATTCATTGATTGGTAACTCTTAAATTACGTAATAATATAACTATTTTTTATAATGGTTCGGCCAACCGTAAAAAATTACATATTAACAACAACAAAAAGAGTTACTTTTAATAATAACATCACTCTAGTCATTTATAACATACATGAGCACCTGCATAATACACCACACGCACACTAGGAGAAAAACTCGATCCTCCTAGTTTTGTTGATCTCTACAAGATACCAACCAGAACAGAGTCTTTTTCCTTACCTAAAATAAATAATATTACATGTTGTGGCTATCTTTAGATGAAAAAATTTTAAATTTTTTTTTTTTTAAAAAAATAAAAAAATAAAAAAAAAAATAATAATAAAAAAAAATAAATAAATAAAAATAAAATAAAAAAAAATAAAAAAAATAAAAACTAGGTAAAAACTTTATAGTTTTTGAAAAAAATATATATAGTAAATAAAAAGATTGAAAGGGACAACAACTACAGCTGATAAGCATGAAAGATTATATCTATAAAAAGGCATTCAAAGTGACAAAACTTTTAATATGCAAAGTAGATTATCAAAATGAATTTAAGTAGATTATTATAGTTTAGTATAATATCTATAGTAAGCCACAATGTTGGA